GAAGAGGCAGTTCGACTTGGGGGGGATACAGGCATCAAATACAAACCAATACAAAAATGAGACATCTGTGACATTGCTACTCTGAACATGGACCCGGAGCAAGGGGGGGAAATTGTTGAAGCTGAAGTTAAAATTGTAAGGAAAAAGAGGGCAATGTGAGCTTCTAATACATCACATATCCTGATCCCAATTGTCCACTGAAATGTTCTCAAAACTCCTCTGGGACATTGGCGTGGTACTTGCTTTGCCATAGGTCTGCAGAAGGAAACTCATGTTTGAAGGAGCATTTTGCCTTGCACAGGGAGAGCGTAACTCTTCAAAAGGGTTAATACAGATAGGGGGATGGGCAATCATTTCTGAAACGAGTTTTCGCTTTGTTGCGAGTCCTCCAAGATCTTTCGCTCACCTAACCGAATTCTGAAATTTTCACGGAAACGTTCTGCATCTTTCTCGATGCCTCAAGCTATGCAGATGCTGCCACGGTGTAATGCTTTGGGAAAGCACAACAGGTGTGTTATCCATCACCAAGGTTTCCCAAGGTAGCGGGAATGATTTCTGACAACAATACTATCGTCTTGGAAATCAGAATTGACACAACAGAGCAAGGCTTTTCAAAGTAGATGAGCTTTGAATCCTGATATTCTCCAGTACTGAGACTGCTTGTGTCTCTGGGGCTAGCTGTCATCTACAGGGAATCCAGAATTCTACATAAGGTAACCCAAATCCTGCCAATTGCATTAATGATGCCAAGTAAGAACATTCCTGTAGTTTCCCTTTCTTTGTATCATTTTCCTGCATGCATTTTACTGACCAGCCTGCATCTTCTGGTCATAGGCAGACAGCCCCACCTCCAGACGGATGCAGTGGCACCTTACAGACTAACAAAATTTATTCCCGCAGATGCTTTTGTGAACCGGCGCTCACCTTATCAAATAGGTGACGTGTACATCTGATCTGACATTGATGTATACTCCAAACCATCTGATGAAGTCAACTGTAATGCACGGATGCCGACACTGGAATAAATTTTGTCTGTCTTTAAGGTGCCACCAGACTCCTGTTTTATCCCACTGCATAAGACTTTTAATCTGATAGTCCAGGATTCAAGTCCCTGTTTGGGCAAAAGCTGCTTTGCCCTGACCTGAATGGCTCAAGCTAGCCCGATCTCAGAAAATCCAGGGTAACTGCGCAGAGCCAGGTAATTGCAAATCAACTCCCCCCCAAGCTCTTGTCTTGAAAACCCCATGATGGGTCACCATAAATCATCTGTGACTTGATGGAACTTTCTACCGCCACAGACTAATGTGACTACCCATCTGGAATGACCATCTCCGGACCACTGAACATAATATGTGGTGATCTCTCTAAGTTCCTATGCTTGTGCTGGGCGTTACCCATGCAATGACTTGTCTATCTCTGCAACTGAGAGGACTCAAAGCGGGGTTTTTAATAAGGGAAAGCTGGGGTCCTCGAGATGCTGAACTGCGCACCTGACGCCATGTTCTGCACCTTAGTGGAATCAAAAAGCAGCCTATGTCTATGCGACCGGCCTGCCATCTTAGACACTGCAAATGGGATTAATACCAGCACTCGGAACAACAGAACAAAGCTCTTCCAATACATTAGCATGCCCCACTTTTCCTCCAATCCATTTTTTTTCCGGTTAGGAGGACCACCAGGCTGTAATCCAGCAGCCACTTATTCTGAAAAACTCACAATCAAATCTACAGGGCTGTTCCACAATCTGCCGTGGACTGCCATGTGGCAGCCTGAACTAATAACTCCTTTATGCCAAAATGTTTTGATTTAAGCTGACATCAACCCACTGGTTCCAGTGAGTCTAGCTAACACACCGGTCTTAAAATATACACTGTGGCAATAAACCCCATTCATCGCAAACGCATTTTATCTCTGTATCATGAAAGGGACTCTACGGTTGCATGGATCCAGTGTGCGCATGCGCACGCACGCACACTGCACGTCGGCAGAGCTGGGCTCCATCCCATCCATTTCCATGTGGGAGAATATTCTAATGGAACAATATGGTTCCTCTGATACTTTAGAGAATGCACTGCACAGTTCCGGGTGCCCCAGGAGACCTTGGTTGGGCTGTGCCTCCCCTATGGTGCTGGGGTATACAAGCAGCTTAAATACAAACATTTTAACAAAAACGGACTTCGAATCAGCTTCGCCAAGGACCTGGTACTTTTTTGCTGGTGGAATCGGCGCACAATGCCAAAAGAACATCCCCGTGACGATAGCTGGCTGACACTACATTTCGCAATGTTGGGCTGGCACAGCAACTTGGATGTCTTGATCAAAGGCTCAGTTCAGATGTAAAGGCCCCCGGTAACATGCATTACATGGTGGGGCACAGGATCTCAGAAGTGTGCATCCTGAGCACCGGAATGAATGACATTTTTGGGTGAAATGGTCTCATCTTGCCCAATCTGTGTGATCCTTCCATTTCTACTGGGAGAGGAAGGATCATCGTGAGCCAATGAGCGAATTATGAGCGAATTACACATACCCTTGTGCACATGATCTGCTCATGGCACACGACATGCCATTTGCATGCAGCCAGGTGGGTGGACACCTGAGATCCTGGCTCGCTCAGCTCCCATGGGGATGTTACTGGGGCCCTGAATGTCTGAACTGAATCTAAATGTTTTGATGCTTACTTGGGCAACGGGTCTTTAGCCTTTCCTTAAGATAAAAGCTGCAGATCCTTCTTGCAGCCAGAATCTATTCCTGTACCCTTAAAAATCCCATGAGGCATGGCCAACTTTGATTTGTCTACTCGTAGTAGGAGGTTAACGCTTTCTGTTCCTCAGTGCTGTACGTAACATGCAAAATCCAGAAAATCTACTCCAACAAGTAACTGCTTGAAGAGTAAATTAAGGGTGTCATACCGACTCGGTGACTTAAAGAATACGGGATTCTTATCCAATATTATACTTCCCCCCCTTTCCAATCATCTGATATCTAATTCTTGTTAGTACCGTAAACACACACTCATGTGCGCATGCACACACACACACACACACACACCCAAGATTATAAAACACTTTTGTACTAAATTTCTTCTCTCTCTCTCTTTGTCACCTGAGAACAGCACCTACAGTTTCCTTTAAAGTAAAAAAAAAAGATTAATAATAATCTCACCAGCTGCTGGTAGTCAGGTTCTTCAAGGGATTGTCTAAGACAACGTCACTGCCCTAGCGTAAGACTGAAGATGAAACAAACGAAGGAAAGACAGCCGACCAGGGGGATGCGCAAACACATATGAAATGGAAGTAGTTCAGCACATTAGTACAAATTTGGCACTTGCTCAAAGACTACATCTGGTATGCAATTGGTGAAAAGAGGCTGTATTTAAGAAAGAAGGGTGTGTGTGGGAGGGGGGGGACCAAACTTTATGTCCAGTTGAGGCCCGTGTGGCGGTTCATGCTATGGTTCTTGCTCTTCACCATGGGTGAGAGGGACCATAAGTCTTGTTGTTTTTGCCCACTGGCAAGTAATAAAGTTTTTAAAATTTATTTTGTTCGATTTATATCCCGCCCTTCCTGCAAGCGGGCTCAGGGTGGATAACATCAGCAAAAAAATATCCAGACGTTTTAAAACAATTGTATAAACAATAATAGTCGAAACAGTTAAAAGAGAATCAATCTAATGGGCAATGGTTTCTACGTCCCGCAGCACTACACTGACAGCAAAGAGAGGGCCCGCCAGCCGAAGTGCCATAACAAGTCAGTCATGTGGGCAGGTTTCAAGGGGCGATTTTCAGCAGGGGAGGCCAAAATAATTAGGAATCCGCCGCCTCAGCCAAAGGCCTTGCGGAATAGCTCTGCTTTACAGCCCCTGCGAGACTGCAGTAAGTCTCGCAGGGCCATGATCTTAAGCGGGAGCATATTCTACCAGGTCGGGGCCAGAGCAGAAAAAGCCCTGGTTGAGCCTAAGTGGACATCCCTTGGGCCAGGGACAATTAGCAAATGTTGGTCTGCAGAGCACAAGGTTCTCCAGGGCACATACGGTTTGAGGCTAATAGGGAAGGGAGGGGTGGGTGTCGACCCAAGTGATGACCTCTTGGGGGAGAGCCCACAGCTCACTGGCACAGCCCATGCCTTGCACACAGAATGTTCGAGGCACAAGAACAGCTGTGCCAGAACCATGTCTTGCCCAAGGTCATCCAGCAGCTGCAAGTGGAGGAGAGGGGAATCAAACCCGGTTCTCTCAGATTAGAGTCCGCACACTTAACCACTACACCAAACTGGCTCTCTGCCAGAGGACCCCAGGGAGCTGCCGCTTATGTGAGCAGGCCGGGGCTAGGAGGACCGATCTTTTGGTTTGGCATAAGGCGGCATCCTATGTTAACAATGCGTGGGCCACAACGCTGTAAAACTGAGCAGAGGTTTATTGTGGTCTGCCCCCCACCACGGGATTGCGCCAGCATGGGCCGTGACGTGGCTCTGTGCCAGAGTTACGGCTCTCACAGACTTGGATCTCTTCCTAGGCATGGAGCAGTACCGAAAGCGAAAGAGAACGCCACATGGGCCAAAACTGATTCTGCCCCCCACGCCCCCCCCAGATGCACGTGGGCCTTGAATCCTAACTTGGGACAGAAGGAGAAAGAAAAAGAAAGGAAGGGGAAAGACCGGAGGGGGAAGTCTAAGGAACTTTTATCATCTCTTGTTTTTTCCCTGTCAGGTGCATTACCCCCTTCCCACCCCCACCCACCCCCAAAATCTTTTTTTTCCTTTAAACTGTAGCACAAAACAACAGAACACATTCACAAGCCACTTGTTGGCACTGTGTACCTGAGTGAGAATTTTCTAGAACATTGTAGAACAAACAGCCATAAAGTTTATTTGAAAAAAATAATAATAATAAAAGATTGAACGGGTAAGACTTCAGTGCCTGGGTATAGCAGCTGAATTACTGGCATTATGTTACCCATAGCTTATTTCGTCCTCTTTTTTTGTTTTGTCATTGTCGTCTTTCTTATCACGGTTTCTTCCTCTGAGCCGTCGTCTCTCTTATTTTAAAAATTTCGGTTCGTTTTTTTTAAAAAGTTTTCGATGCGGGCCAATGTCTGTTCATCAGCTGATGTCCCCCGAACTAGTTAAGACTAAAAGTTTTAAGTAACAGTCAGTGTACGAGGATTGAAGTTCGTGTGCTTGGCCACTGGGTGAGAAAACAGCTGGGGCTTTCCACTGAAGTCCTGCAAGGTCAACTCTGAGGATCCGGACCCCTTATCAGTTGGCTTGCCCCACGATGTGGTTTTCACTGTCACTGCCGTAGTCCACATCGGGGTCGTCCTCCTCTTCGTCATACTCATCGTACATTTCGCCGTTGATGTCGTCGGTCTGCATCTCCTCTTTGACGTGGGATGGCTCCTCGCTCTTGATGCCGTAAGTGCTCTGGATGACGGGCATCCCTGGCTCCGGGCTGCTCGACACACTCGAGTGCTCTGAGGGCAGATGCGGCGAGGGCATTCCTGCCATGGCGATGGCTCCTGGGTAGACGACGCCGGCTGTCGCGATAGGAATCTGTGCTTGCTGTCTGTTGGTGGGAAAGGCAAGCAACACAGGAATGAGTTAGCCGGGAGGGAGGGTATGGGTCCTCTTGATGCCAACTAGGGATGTTCATTCAGTTCGGACAAACCGAATCCACCCCTGAAAATGGCCCATTAGGGCCCCTTTTGGGAATTGCAGGCCAATTCAAATTCTCTGATCTGAATCGGCTTGCTACTGAATTGCCGCCAAAATTCGGTGGCAATTCGGCCCCATTATATCTTATGGGCCATTGAAGTCAATGGTGAAAACATTGGGTATATTCTGGGGGCTGGAGGGGAGGGGGTTTGAGGGAAAGGCTCCAAACATGCAGGGTAGCTGCTGGAGCCTCTCCCCAAGATACCCACCAAGTTTCAAGAACATTGGACCAGGGGGTCCAATTCTACGGGCCCCAAACAGGTTGTCCCCATCCCCTCCATTGTTTTCTATGGTGGGGAAAATGGTTACTTTTTCCCCACGGTGCTGTTAGTGGCTCTGGGGGGGGAGGGGCTTTGAGGGAGAGGCTCCAAACTTTCAGGGTAGCTTCGGGAGCCTCTCCCCACATAAATCCCCATGTCCCAAAGCAATTGGACAAGTGGGCTCAATTCTATGGGCACCCAAACCGGTTACCCCCATTACCTCCATTGTTTCCAATGGGGAAACCCAGCCAGCAGCACTTAAGGCAGGCAAGCAGGCAGCACCCAGAAGTCAGGCTCTCCCAGAGAATCTCAGGGAAAGTGAACTGTCTTGGGAGGTGCTTGTTTGCCATGAGAACACGTGGCCCACTCCAGAACAAGTGGCACTGTGGCAGTGCAAGCATGCCACAGTGCCACACAG